TGAGCCCAATCACCAGGTCATGTTACACAAAGGACACATCACCGATGCAGATGGTGCAGATTCTTTTTTTTTTTAAACGGTGATGCTCGCCCGAGTTGGAATCAAACATCGGGTTTTCCGTGTCGGCCTGCCTGCTAGATCCCAAGAAGCCTCGGGGGTTCTCGAAAGAGAGAGAGAGCCCGGGCAGGCCGTTCCTACCCTACCCTCCCCTCAGCCAAGCTCGAACCCGTGACGCCTGGGCTCACAGACCTGCCCCACGGGGTTGATCCCCCCCCCCCTCTTTGTGGGGCAGGTCCCCAGTCCTGGCGCCTCTTCCTGGAGACGTGAGGTGTGGCCACGGCAGTCTGGTGCATCTGCAGTCCGTGTGCTTTTCTTGAATCGAGGTCAGTGCATTCTGCAGGGGGATTTTCAGCGTTAAGGCCTTCTTGCACTTTCTTCATTGCTGACGAAGGCGCCGCAGAGGAGGCTCGCCCACCCGAGGAGACCTGCTCTCAGCGAGCGCCCAGGCTTGCTGTGGCATTGCTGCTGCTGAGATAAAACAGGAGAACCCTGGCGAGGAGACGATAGTCTGAACTCCAGGCACAAGCTGCCTACCACAGGAGGTATAAGTAACGTACAAGAGGGAGAACAGTCTCCTGCTGGCAGTTTGCATACATCATTCCTCTGTGCCTGTGCGATGTGTGGTCTTTTTCTCGGAGTGCCAGGGGGTCCTCTGGAGGTACTGGTGCCGGTGTGGAGTGATAAGTGGAGGGCTGATAAGACTGGCCTCGACGGGCCTGAGTGTGTGTCTGCAGTCCAGCTGATGAAAGGACACTTAGTGCAGCAGCTCCAGCCTGTGCATGAGTGAGTGGCACTCCGGGGGACACGGGCGAAGAGCGCTGATAAGCTGGCCTGCGATCAGAGCCCTCACTGCAGCCCGTTGTGGCAGCGGGTTCTGTCCCAGCCTCCGGCCGGGGCGTTTGCGCTGCCCTCTCCGGGATGCCCAGTCTGGAGCCGCCGAATTCCCCATTTCTCGGCTGGGGATTTTGCCGGTGCTCCGTGCCAACGGAGCGCAGACGCTGTGCCAGCACTGCGGAATCTCGGCCGCGATTTCCTTGCAACAGAGATCGGACCCGACGCGTCGGGTGATGTCTGTCGCTCACTCTCCTCGTGCTCATTGTTTGCTGCGCAGTGCGCTGGAAAGGCAGGTGTAGTCTGTGCCACTGCATGGTTCTGCCTGGAGTCCACATGCTTTCAGGGTGGATGTTTTGATCGTACAGAAGTGACATTTTTGTGTTTTTTTTACACTTAACTGAAATGAGTGTTACAGTGGAAGCCACTCTTTCTCCCCCACCCCCCCCGACATAGTCACAGCCCGTTTTTGTCTGCTTATCAGAGCCTTTACATTTTCAGTGCCTTGTTTTGCAGGCGAGTCAAATGTGGTTTGTCCGAAATCCTGACTCTAAATCATGGACTAGCAGCAACTCCTAAAACACCATTTGACATGAAAATAGTCTGTTTAATCAGCATATTTTATTTCCCCCCCCCCCTGCTGTGGAGTGTCGAGTGTCTTGTGATGCATTTGTAAGCAGGTCACATGGGCAGTTTCTTATCTGAATGAGGGTGTCTGTGTCTTGGTGCTCTTTTTGCAGTAAGAAGCAGCTCAGATGTTCCTTGACTTTTTCACCACTCAGTTCTCCTGACTCCTGTTCTCCCAACTGCATTGTCTTTGTACTTGTACGCGTGTTCTTGCACTATTGAGTGAAAAGGCTGTTTCAGAGTGTTAGTTTTGTTTATGGGTTGAAATAGAATATTCTTCCCATGACCACATAATTGCAGGTCCTCTGGTCGAGTATGAATAGATTTTAATTACAGGCCTCTTAGTACAGTATGAATGGAATTACATTTAATTTCTCAGAATTCCACCCATCATAATTTTATACTGTTAAGTTCTAAAACTGCCTTTTTTATTTCTGAATGCTTCCAGTCATTTCTCTGTTAGTGGGTGGGGGGGGGGGGGTGTTTGGTCTATATCTCGGCACAAGGTACCGTGCTTTCTACGGTCTTGTAAGTGTGGTCTGTGCTGGTCAGTAGTTCTAGGAAACAGAACTTCACACAGAAAATGACCTCATTAAGCACTTTGAACTGGGGCAAGTGGGTGGCGTCCTCAATCCTATGAGGTATGAATAAAAGCAGATTGCAGTGACAATCTGTGCTTGCATTGAAAAAGTCAAAATGCCGTAGTGATCTACAGTGTGCTAGTGGATGTCTGTGATCCGTTCACACGGCTCCCTTGTGAATTTTATTGGAGCAGTAGGATTCTGTGCTTGAATAACATGTTCCGTGACACGCCAGCCTTTCACCAGAGGGAACTGTGGCAGCAGGTGTGAAGGT